CTAGCGGAATGTCCTAGGTGTCCAAATCGGTGATTATATCGGTCGACGCGCTGTAAAAAATGTATAGCGCGTTGACCGATATAATCACCGATTTGGACACCTAGGACATTCCGCTAGATTACCGGACCTGGACAGTCCTATTATACCATACCATACAAGTATAATCCAGTTAATTTTATTTAATTAACTTAATAACACTTCTCGTTAACGCATTGTGAGTCTGTATTTACACTAAATATTTTACTAAATCACTATAATTATAACTTTACTTTGAATTTAATGTAAATACACTCCAAAGATGTTTACTCTGTAATGAAACTCGTATTGAATTTAATTAATAAATTGAAATCAAAATGAAGTTAATTTGGATTTTACAGTAATTATCATTTAATGGTGTTTTCGAGTGAATCAATAGTATAAACACTTTTTAAATATATTTAGTTATAAAATGTTTTGTAAAACAAATGAAAGAATAATAAATGGTTTGAAAACAAGAATATAAGACATTATCATGAATAAGGACTAATTAAAAGAGCTAGAGGAGCTACAGGCACCGCAGGTTAAACCGCTAGAAAGACGGCTTTACGTAGAGATTCAGACACTACTTAGGCTTTCAAAACCGGCTTAGCTGTTTTAACTACGCCAGACCCTCTTTGCCGAAACGCCCGGTTCGGCCGATTCGATGCAAATACGTCTCTTTGTCTACTTCTCTGGTCTCCACATTAATGGGCAGATCATAGTTCACCACAACTGTCACCTGTTCCACGTCTATGCCCCTCGCCATCACGTTAGTGGCGATCAGCACCCGTTCCTGTCCCTCGCGGAACCGCTGCAAAGCCATTGTCCGCTCTTCTACTGATAGGTCACCCGATATTAACCCAACCGAATGGCCGTCCTTTCAGACAAATCAACCGTTAGTTTAATCTCTTAATGAACTAAGAATTAAATGAGAAAATAATACAAACTTTTCGGAGTGTTTGCGCCAAACGAGCGGCCGATGCCTTCGTGTGGCAGAAGATGAACGCCTGACCCATGGAAATGGTGCCAAAAATGTTGGCCAAAGCCTTGTACTTGTCGTCCTCGTTATGACAATACACATAGAATTGGTTTATGTTTTCTAAGCTCTCCTCTTCCCGTTTGAGTCGAATGATCACCGGATCTCTTATAATCATTTCCGCGAATTCCATCACATTCTTGTCATAAGTGGCTGAGAATAACATCATTTGGCAATCCATGGGTAATGCCTTTTGGATGCGAATCGACTGTTGCCGGTGTCCCTGAGTGTCGATCATGACGTCCGCCTCGTCCAACACAAACACTTTAATCTTTCTCGCGTCAAACGCTTTGAATTTGTGGATCCAATCCATCAGTTTTCCTGGCGTTCCGATTATCACGTGTTCTGATATCTGTTCGCCTATTATTTCAAACATTTTTACCGGTAATTAAAAAATTCATTTAAAAAAATCGCCAAAAATCGAGACCTCTTTGTATGTTCTCTCCTCTGACAGCGAACCGGAAGCTAATCCGTGGGATGTGTTTAGCCATCTGTTTGGCCACTTCTCCCGTTTGTATCGCGAGTTCATAAGTTGGCGACAAAATGATGACTTGAGGGTTGAATTCGTTGGCCTCCACCCGACACAGACTCGCCAACACAAAGGCCGCAGTCTTACCGGTGCCCGACTGGGACTGTGCGATCAGATTGATGGGTCTGTCCCACAATCAGCGCAACAAATCGTGTCATTAGTATCAGTAGATTGAGTGCAAAACAAAGTCTAGACTAACGGTGTGGCCAGAAGTAGGGGAAGTGCCGTCTCCTGGATTTTGGACGGCGCCGAGAAACCCATTTCGTAGAGACCTTTCAATAGCTCGTCGGGTCTGAAGACAAACACAGAAATCATGAGTCAATTCAAGTGACCATTAATTGTCATCAAAGAGTGGTTTGCATTACAGTCGCAGCTCTTCGAAGGTTTTGGCGGAATATAAGGGACTGTTTGGTAGACTTCGAGTCACTTCCACGTTGTTCTTCGTGTGAAGCAATTTGTTTCGCAACACTTTCCGCATATACGACAAGTCGGCCGAAGACACTGTCAAACAAAGCCATCAATTAGTCACTCAAATCACTGCCATTTGTGTCTCATGTGTTGATACCATCCTCATCGCGTGTCTGATTTGTGGCGCCATTTGTTTCGGTCGATTGCGAAGACTCGGTCGACAGAGAGATGGTTTCGATCTAATGGTCAACACAATCATCGGTTCATTTGATCCAAACAGTGAACCATCCTCATCGCGTGTCTGATTTGTGGCGCCATTTGTTTCGGTCGATTGCGAAGACTCGGTCGACAGAGAGATGGTTTCGATCTAATGGTCAACACAATCATCGGTTCATTTGATCCAAACAGTGACTTCATGTGAAAAGCCGCACAAACCTTAGCGGACAGGTGTTTGTCCTCCTCTTTAGTGTCTTGCGTGGGAGTCGTGTTAGTGATGCCCAGACTCTCGTCCCAGTTGTCGATCTTTGTCAGTGCCATCGATAGGATCCGTTGATTACCACTAATTTGGTATCAATTTATGAATCAAATGAATGGATATCTTCAATACGTTATTCATATGATGCGATACAGTCATAGCATTATTGTTGTGGAGACTATGCTTTAGATTTAATACGAAATGTCTACAATATTCAACACATAACCGTACGATTGCTGCAATGCTTTGTATTGTCTATGAAATGCAAACCCAACCTAACATTCAATGACTGAATACATTGCAAATAAATTATAAATTGTTATCAAAATTAATTTTATAGTAAATACAGTAAAACTCGAAAGTTTAGAAATAATTCAATTATTTTAATTAATTTAGGATTTTGACTTATTTATTTATCTCTGATTATTTTGATTACTTACAAACTTTTATTTTATTTCTAAAAGTTTTCAAATAACTTTTACTTATACAAGGAATCTTTTTTATGCATTTGAAAATGTGCCTGATATTTACTAGTAATTAAAATAAATTTAAAACTTGGATTATAATTATTTGACTAAAATATTAACTAAATGTTGGCGAATTATGTGAATAAAAACACTTATCTTAAAAATATTCAGTAAAGTCATATAAGTTATTAAAATTTATTTCAAAAATAATGTTTAGATTCTAAAGTTTAGAATAAAATATCAAAATGTAATAGCTTACTAATTAAATATTATTTGTATATGGTTTATCAATTAATGAGAAAATTATACTTTTCTCATAAAATTATATACATCTACTTTTGTTATCAGGCAATGGCAATGATTATTATTATTGTCAAATAAATGTAAAATAAATGAATAGTTTTTATAATCTTATTTTTGCTCAAGTGTCAGATAAAGTGATTATGTAATTAAAAATTGTTTACAACTTTTTCGTATATAAAAACACTAATTACTGTATTAAAATTCATTTTGTTTGATAAAGTTTTGTACAAATGTCAGCAAAAGGGAGTCGCATATGTGTGGTGGGCGCGGGTGCCGCCGGATTGACATCAATTAAGACATGTCTGGAAGCGGGACTGGAAGTGGTCTGCTATGAGAAGACATCAAATATATCGGGTCTTTGGTGTTACAGACGTGAAGACATCGAAGGCGTCGGAAGAGTACAGAAGACGACGATCACGAACTCGTCTAAAGAAATCAATTCATTCTCTGATTTTGCGATTCCTAAAGAATTTCCCAATTATTTGGATCACAAGAAAATGTGTGAATACTTTGAATTATATGCCAAACACTTCCAACTCTTACCTCACATTCGGTTCAAGCATTCGGTGCTTAAAATAGACAAAACCCATGATTACGACACTTCTCACAGACTTAAGGTTGTCGTCCAGAATAGTGAAGACAATTCTGTCTCGACTCAAGAATTTGATGGCGTTATGGTGTGCACCGGACATCATACCACTCCCCGGTGGCCACACTTTCCCGGACAACATTTGTTTAAAGGTATATTCATTATGCTTTCAATTTCAACATTATTTAAAGAAAGATTTTCATTGAATTTAAGGTAAAATACTTCACTCAAGAGATCTTAGCTCTCAATTGGATTTACAAGAATATGAGGACAAGACGGCTGTTGTCGTAGGCATTGGTAACTCTGGCTGTGATTCTGCCGTAGAATTAAGGTTCGGTTTATTATTTGTGTTGACTTTTATGAATGATTTTTATGAATTATGATTTTTATTAGCTATTTATGTGACAAGACATACATGTCATTACGACGGGGCGGTTGGGTTTTGTACAGATTGGGAACAAATGGATGGCCCATTGATTATCTATTGCAGACTAGATTTCTAAATACAATCAGAAAACTGTTCCCATTTGGTCTTATTTGTTGGTATTTCGAGACTTTTTACTTTAACTATCGCTTCAATCATAGACTCTATGGAATTGAACCCAACTCCAGATGTTTCTCTGAAATACCAATCATTAGTGATGTATTGCCCACAAGAATAATTAGCGGTAGAATCGCTATTAAGAAAAATATTAAGCGATTCGTTGAGGACGGGGTCATATTTGAAGGTAATGTATTGGTATTGAAGTTAACTTTTTGAATATTTTCTTAAAAGTTTTATTCAATTCAATAAATAGGTGATCAAAATGTAACAAAATGTGATTTAGTGGTTATGGCAACTGGTTATCACTATTCGTTTCCCATTATCGATGAGAGTCTTTTCAAACACACCGACTCAAAGCCATTGAATTTATACAAACAAGTATTTCCCGAGCAATTGTCGCACTGGAGTCTCGCCCTAATCGGTGCCATTCAACCGAATGGAGGAATATTCTCGTTGTTTGAGATGCAGGCGCGATGGTATACAATGCTTATGACCGGCAAATGCCAGTTCCCATCACACGACCACATTGTGGCCGACATTGCATCGGCTAATCAAATACGAGACCAAATATTCTATAAGTCTGTCAGAAATTCTTTAGGAGTTGATTGGATTTCATATATGGATGACATCGCAGATATTATTGGCGTAAAGCCAGATATAAGACAATACCTGTTCTCTGATACACCTCTTTTCATACGATTAGTGTTTGGGACGGCATTATCGTATGAGTATCGGTTAAAAGGTCCCAATTCTTGGGGTGGTGCTAGAGATGCTCTCATGCAGTCTGACTATAGGGTTAGGTATGGAATCAATCCCAATGAAGCTAAGTCTGGGTCTCAATATTATTTAAATGCAGACTTTTATAAAATAGTGTTTGTATTGATCTTGTTTTTGTTTATCAATATTATTATGGAAATATTTGATTAATCAAAACGTTTATTGAATATGATTTTTATGCTTATGTTATACTTCGGTACTTCTAGGTTATTCCTATGAACAATATAATATCATTTATAATGTTATTATGTTTACTGTGCGTATAACTTTTATAATGTTTTATGTTAATGTTTTCTGTGAGTATGTGAATAAATGAATCCGATAAAAAAAAGTATTTAATAACTTATATTTGAATAAAATAATGGTTAAATGAGAATATATCTTTATTAAATAATGTTTCGTATACATTGTGTATAATTTTAATTTAACTAGTAGTTTGTCTAATATTACTAATATTTGTGAGTATTAGATCATAATGAACAATAAGAAAGCAATAGGCAATTACAATAAGTGCTATCATTAAAATCATAAATCTTTTGATCTGGAAAAAATTATAACAAGTTAAAGAAATCGGGTTTAAGGAATTTTTAGTTAAAAATAATATTAACTCATAATAAAAATTACTTTCAGATTTAGCTGTAAGAGAATTTGCCAATCTTTCTATATTTATAGCCGAATGAATTGCTTCATAATGAAGATTAGAGGCATATATAGGAATTCCTATAAAGACTAACAAAATTATACCAATAGCCCAGATAGAGCTGACCC